TCCACCGACCGACTTCGAACACCACGGACCAGAACCACTGAATTTCCAGACCACCACTCAGACTCACGGACAAAACGTTTTATGTCCCCTCTGCAAGGCCAGCATGGGGCATAAACATGACGACACTAGAAGAGACAGGCTCCGTAGGCACGCCAGACACTTCCACCTGTCCTTAACTCGTCTCGGATGTCAGCGCCGCAGGCCTAGCTACATGTGCGCCAGGCGCGTCGCAGCGTAACAGTGTTTCGTGAGATATCGCGAAGCCTGTTACGCGAGACGTGGTCTGGGGTACATGTAGCTAGTAGGTAATGTCACTCCACTGTTAAAGGTGACATGCTCAGTAAACACAATGTCTTGTCCTTGTGGCCGGCCCTGTGGACCATAAGATGGTAGGGAATACGATAGAAGACACTCGTTATGCATGTCTTGCTGACACTCGAAGGAAAACACAGCAGACACAAATCGCACACTTTGGAAGTCACAATGATTCGTCACTAATCACAATAAAAGTGTTGTTTTGATGTTGTTGTTTTTGAGTCAAAGCACAATGCGTTCTACGGATGTGTTATTTACAACGTGAGTGTTATGGAAAGGAATCTTTGATGAAACCATGCAAACTTAATTCTACAAAGTTATTCAATGAAAGTCATTTAAATTGTGCGCATGTCAGTGTCATCTGACCAACAAGCGTATGTCAACAGAAATACCATCTGACAAATGAGCGTATGTCACTCTCATCTGACAAAATGTGCGCATGTCAGCAAAAATCTAGTCAAATGTGCGTATGTCACTGACATACGTATATTTTGTCAGATGACTTGTGACATACGCATATTTTACCATTGAATCCCAGCCTACTCTATTATGATTTTTCAATTTTTCTCTTCTGCATGGGATGCAGGACCAGTTTAAGTACACTTTAGTGTAAAAATGTGATTTTTGAAAAATCAGTCACATACGCACCTCTGTCAGATGACAGGTGAGTTGTTAGTGGAAACAGCCGAAAAAGAACGGCGAGAGTAAGTCTATCAGGAAAATACTTTAAAAATACTACTCGAACCAGGATATTTCTTTTTGACATTTCAAGTGTAACTTCGTCACATTCTTACATCTGTCTTCTTGTTTTACGCAGATTACATGTACTCGACGTGATCGTCGACACGTGTTTGACGGCATTCTTTACATTAATGGAAAAAAATCGAGGAAACATAATCTGTTCAGACTTACACGCTTTGGAGGGAGGACAGTTGTTAGTGGAAACAGCCAAAAAGGAACGGCGAGAGTAAGTCCGTCAGAAAAATACTTTGTGAGTACTACTCGAACCAGGATATTTCTTTTTGACATTTCAAGTGTAACTTCATCACATTTTTACATCTGTCTTCTTGTTTTACGCAGATTACATGTACTCGACGTGAGCGTCGACACGTGTTTGACGGCATTCTTTACATTAATGGAAAGAAAATCGAGGAAACATAATCTGTTCTATCTGCCCAATAGCGAGCCGAGAGGTAATCATGGGCTCAGGTTTTCGCAAAATTGTGCAATGCGAAACATCAACATATCACTCATGCGCCACATTCCGGGACCAGCAATTGGAATCAAAACGCCGACATGTTACGTGGGGACGGAGGGTGGCACCATTTCCATGCAACAGAGAGGACCTTGCTCTAGAAGCTGCGAACCAACATGTCGCAGGGGCGCCTAAAATATGGTGAGTTTACATGTATTATCGTTTAAGTACACTTTCATCACATGATGCCTCTAATAACCGAAAAAACTTGCTTTTTTCCATTTTACCTAGGTACGTCATCGCACTATCATACCACAATGCATTCTGTGATCTCCTCCTGACATTAGGCTATACCCAGGCAGAGGGAAGTTATCGTTTCCTACTCAACCACAAGAGAACTTTCATTGATCCCAGGACGGTTTTGAAAGCTGCCATTTCAGTACACACGGTAAGTTTTCGTGATGCGTTCTCTTCTCATACACTGGTAAACTAAGTTTTAAACTGCTCAACACTTGTAAGTGTGCAATTGCAAGTTGAATACTTGCAAGTCTGCAACTCGACAGCCGTACACTTGCAAGTGTTCACTTCTGTAGGTGTGCACTTGCAAGTGTGCAACTAATCGGTTGAACACTTGCTTAGGCTGAACGCTCACTGTGTAGGAAGTGCACAACCGAGGAGTTGCACACGTGCAAGTGCACACCTACCGAGTTGCACACCTGCTAGTATTCAACTTGTAGTTGCACACTTGCAAGGATTTAACTTGTAGCTTAACATTTACAAGTGCTGAGCAGT